ATATATACCACATTTTGCTTACCCATTCATCTGTTTATAGATACTTGGGTTGTTTCTACTTTTTTGCTGTTGTGAATAATGTTACAGTGGTACAAAGGTATCTGTTTGAGTTCCTAATTTCAGTTCTTTTGGGTATATGCCTGGGAGTGGACTTGCTGGGTCATATGGTAGTTCTATGTTTAGCTTTTTGAGGAACCACTAATTTGTTTTCCACAGCAGTTATATCATTTTTTTCCCACCAACAATGTATGAGAGTCTCGATTTTCCATATCTTCTCCAACGCTTGTTATTTTCTGTTTTTCACCCCTAATTATAGTTGGGTTTTCTGTTTTGTTCTATCAATCTATGTGCCTGTTTTTGTGTCAGTACCATACTGTTTTGATCACTACAGCTTTGTAATATAACTTGATGTCCAGAATTGTGATACCTCCAATTTTGATTTTCTTTTTCAAGACTGCTTCAGCTATTTGGGATCTTTTGCATTTCATACAAATTTTAGGATTGTTTGTTCTAGCTCTGTAAAAAATGCTGGTGGTATTTTGATAGGGATTGCATTAAATGTGTAGATTGCTTTAGGTAGTATAGGCATTTAAAAAATATTTGTTCTTCCAATCCAAGAGCATGAAATTTTTTAATTTCTTTGTGTCATCTTTAATTTCGTTTTTCAGTGTTTTATACTTTTCAGAGTACAGGTCTTTCACCTCTTATTTAAGTTTATTCCTAGGTATCTATGTTTTTGGTGCAGTTGTAAATGGGATTGATTCTTGATTTCACTTTCTGATGCTTTCATAATTGGTGTATAGAAATGGAAGATATTTCTATACATTGATTTGTATACTGCAACTTTACTGAATTCACGTAGCAGTTCTAGAAATATTTTGGTGGAGTCTTTTGGGTTTTCTGTATAGAATATCATATCCACAAATAGTGAAAGTTTGACTTCTTCCTTGATAATTTGGATGCCTTTTATTTCTTTTTATTTTCTGATTGCTATGGCTAGGACTTCCACTACTATGTTAAATGTGAGAGTAGACATCCCTGTCATTTTCTTCACTGTAGAGGTAAAGCTCTCAGTTTTTCCCCATTGAAGATATTAGCTGTGGATTTTTCACATATGACCTTTATTATGTTGAGGGATGTTTCCTCTAACCCTACTTTGTTGAGGGTTTTTATTATGAATGGATGTTGTACTTTGCTAAATGCTTTTTCTGCATCTGTTGAGAGGATCATATGGTTCTTATACTTTCTTTTATTAATATGATGTATCACATTGATTGATTTGTGAATGTTGAATCACTCTTGCAGCCCAGGAATAAATCCCACTTGATTGTAGTGAATGGTTCTTTTAATGTGCTGTTGGATTTGATTTGCTAGTATTTTGTTGAGAATTTTCGCATCCATGTTCCTCAGGGATATTGGCCCATAGTTCTCTTTTTTAGTGGAGTCTTCATCTGGTTTTGGAATCAGGGTAATGATGGACCCATAGAATGAGTGGAAAATTTCCTTCCATTTATATTTTTTGAAATAGTTTGAGAATAATAGGTATTAAGTCTTCTTTAACTGTTTGGTAGAATAGGACATCCCTATGAAGCCATCTGGTCCTGGACATTTGTTTGTTGGGAGGTTTTTGATTACTGATTCAATTTATTTCCTGGTTATTGGTCTGTTTAAGTTTTCTATTTATTCTTGTTTTAGTTTTGATAGTTCACATGTTTCTAGAAATTAATCCATTTCTTCCAGGTTGTCCAATTTGTTGCCATATATTTTTTCATGATATTCTTTTATAGTTATTTGTATTTCTGTGGTGTTGGTTGTTATTTCTCCTCTCCTATTTGTGATTTTATTCATTTGGATCCTTTCTATTTTTTTCTTTTGATAAGTCTTGCTAGGGATTTGTCTTAACTTTTTCCAGAGAACCAGCTCCTGGTTTCATTATCTGTTCTATTATCTTTTTTGTTTCTATATCATTTATTTCTGTTCTAATTTTTATTATTTGCCTTCTTCTGCTGGCTTTAGGCTTTGTTTGTTGTTGTTTTTCTAGTTCCTTTAGGTATAATTTAAGTTGTTTATTTGAGATTTTTCTCGATTCTTGATACAGGCCTGTATTGCTATATACTTATCTCTTATGATCTCTTTTGCTGCATCCCAAGTGGTTTTGGACCATAGTGTTTTCATTTTAATTTGTTTCCAGGCATATTTTTATTTCTTATTTAATTTTCTTGTTGACCAATTCATTCGTTAGTAGCATTTTGTTTAACCTCCATGTATTTGTAGTCTTTCCAAATTTTTTCTTGTGGTTGGTTTTAAGTTTCACAGCATCGTGGTCAGAAAATATGCATGATATGGCATCAGTATTTTTGTACTTATTGAGGCCTGATGTGTGACCTAGTATATGGTATATTTTGGAGAACGTCCCATCTCCCATGTGCACTTGAAAAGAATGTGTATCCTGCTGCTTTTAGGATGAAATGTCCTGGATATATCTGTTAAGTCTGTCTGGTCCAGTGTGTCATTCATAGCCATTGTTTCCTTGTTGATTTTCTGCCTAGATAATCTGTCCATTTATATAGGTAAGGTTTTAAAATTCCTTACTGTTATTGTATTACTTTTAATAAGTTCCCTTATGTTTGTTATTAATTTTATATATTTGTTTTCTATAAAGTTGGGGGCACAAATATTTATAATTGTTAGACCTTCTTATTGGATAGTTCCTTTTATTATAGTGCCCTTCTTCCTCTCATGTTACAGTCTTTGGTTTAAAATCTAGTTTGTTTGAAATAGGTATTGTTACTTTCACTGTCTTTTGACATCCATTGGCATGACAAATGTTTCTCCATCTCCTCACTTTCAGTCCAGAAGATTTTCCTGGATTATGTAGATGGGCCTAGTGTAATCACATGGGCCCTTAAAAGTAGGAGTGAAGACAGAAGAGTCATTTTGAAGTTTGAGAGGGACTTTACCTACCATTGCTGGCTTTGATGATAGATGAAGTTGGGGGGTCGCGGTCATGAGCCAGGAAGTTTGAATGGCCTCTAGAAGCTAAGAACAACTCTTGGATGACAACAGCAAGGAAATTGGGACCTCAGTCTTTTTTTTTAATTTTTAGTTTTTTATAATTTTTTTGCATGTATTTATTTTTTGAGAGACATAGAGAGACAGCACAAGTTGGGGAGGGGCAGACAGAGAAGGAGACACAGAATCTGAAGCAGGCTCCAGGCTATGAGCTGTCAGCACAGAGCCCGATGCAGGGCTTGAACTCAAGAGCTGTGAGATCATGAACTGAGCCAAAGTTGGACACTTAAACCACTGCACCACCCAGATGCTCCAGGGCCTCAGTCTCAAGGCTGTAAGGGATTGAATGTCGGCAACTTGAAAGAATAAAAAAACAGATTCTCTCCTAGAGCCTCCAGAAAGGAATTCAGCCCTGCCAACACCTTGATTTTGTCTTGATGAGGCTCTAGTGAGAAATGTAGCTGAGCCCACTATACTTCTGATATATGAACACTGTGATATTAGAAGTAGGTTTTATTTTAAGCCACTACACTTATGGCAATTTGTTATGGCAGGTATAGAAAACTAGTACTCTTTTTATGTCTACAGAATTTATAGACATGTCATTGTCCTTATTCTTGATATTGGCAAATTTTGTCTTCTCATGTTTTATCTTATTCAGATTGGCTAAGGTTTATCAGTCTTCTTGATTTTCTCTAAGAGCCAACTTTTTGTGGCATTGATTTTCTCTAATATTTTTCTATTTTCTATTTCAATTATTCCTGCTCCAGTCCTTATTCTTAATTTTCTTCTACTTATTTTGGGTTTTATTTGCTCTACTCATTAAAATATGTGCAGACTATTTTAACATAAACTTCACAAAAGAAGATCTATGGATGGCAAATAGCTACATGAGAAAAAAGTTCATCATTAGTCATTAGAGAAATGCAACTTGAAGCTAAAATAAATATCCTTCATACTCATTGGAATGTCTAAAATTAAAAAAGGCTGACCCAGTGTTGAAAATGTGAAGGAAATGGAATTCTCATATACTGTTGGTGGTGTAAAATGTTACAGCCATTTTGGAAAACAGTTTCATAGTTTCGTGAAACACAAACATCCTATAATATTAATCTATCATGTGATCAACTAGTCCATTCCTAGGTATTTTCCCAAGGGAACTGAAAACATATGTACATACAGATAATTATATATGAAAGTTGATAGCACATTCATTTGTAATAGTCAAATAATGGAAGCAATCCAAACATCCCATCAACAGTGAATAGATATGTACACCGTGGCATGGCCATGCTATAGCATACTACTAAATAATACAAAATAATGCGCTATTGAGCCACACACCAACCCTGAAGAATCTTAAAATAGTTCTGCTGAAATGGAAGCAATCAGACAAAAGAATGTATGCTGTATGATTACATTTATAGAAAATATAGAAAATGTAAACTAATCTATATTGAAAGAAAAGATGTATTCCTGGGCATAGAGTAGGGTAACAGGGGGGGATAGAGGGGATACAAGAACGTGGACATTAGTAAAATGCTAGGGATAGTGAATATGTTCATTATCTTGATTATTGGTTTTATGGGTACATATATTAGCCAAAATATAAATTGTACATTTTATTTATTTTTTTAAATTTTTTTTAACGTTTATTTATTTTTGGGACAGAGAGAGACAGAGCATGAATGGGGGAGGAGCAGAGAGAGAGGAAGACACAGAATCAGAAGCAGGCTCCAGGCTCTGAGCCATCAGCCCAGAGGCTGACACGGGGCTCGAACTCACGGACCGCGAGATCGTGACCTGAGCCGAAGTTGGACGACTAACCGACTGAGCCACCCAGGCGCCCCTAAATTGTACATTTTAAATATGTTTAGGTTGCAGAATATAAATTTTCTTCATTAAAGAAAATGATCAGAAGATAAAATCTTAGTGTGTTAGCATTTGAATTACATCTATGTTGATATGTCCACTTATTTGTTTTCCAGGGTGGATTGCTATTATGGGTGCCATCTGGTTGCTAATTTTAGCTGATATCCATGATTTTGAGATAATTCTACACCGAGTGGAATGGGCAACTCTTCTGTTCTTTGCAGCACTTTTTGTTCTAATGGAGGTAAGACTTTAGAATTCTTGCAAAGTAATCCTTTATCTGACTTTTATGTTTCATACTTTATTGTGCGAATGAAAAAAAGCCTAAGTCTATGGTCTTTCCACTTATTTAACATGGGGGAAATGATGGAAGTTATAAATAGACTATTTTAAGTTAAACCAGGTTTTATTTAAGCCACCTAAATATTTTCTGATAAATTGTTTATTTGGTTGTTGTTTTTAAAGATTATCTTTGTGATTTATAAACTTGCTCTAATTTCATTTTCCATAAAGTAGAATTTGCTCTAAGTTGTGTTTACAGCTGAGTGACTTGTTACAGAAAATTGACAGGGTGATATTATCTTGATGATCTATTTCATTTTGTGTAATGTTTAACTAAATATTCTATGTTATCATGGAAAACACTACATAAAAAGAGTGAATATTATTTTGGTAATAGTTGTTATAAAATGTATTCAAAAAATTATTCACATTATTATTCAATCTTGAGACTTGATTTATGAACTTGTGGCCTCCTCAAATACAAGGTTTGCTGAAATAGAAAAATACTACTCCCTAAAGGATATCTCAAGCACACCAAATATCTCACATTAATTAACTTACTGATGGTAGACCCATTTGGTTTTAATTATTCTGTGTAATAAAACTTTGATACTCCCCCCACCATTTGTCTTTAAGACAGGGCCTTTGAAGTTTTGTAATCTACATCTTTGCTCCTAATGGGTTGTGTAGATGTAATCAAGTGACTCAGTCCCTCCAAGTCTGTGAGGGGGGGTTGTGAATTATATTCTAAATCTTCAGTTTCACACTCAAAACATTCAGCTTTTTTTTTCAGGGTGTTCTTTCCACACTGAACACATAGAATATGGAGGGGAAAATTCTGGTTACTGTTTTCATGATTGGACTTTGAAAGTCTCTGCCTCAATTACATGTTTACTCCAGGTATAAATTGCTATCTCATCTGGGTTTTGGGCATATTTTTCCATATTTTATACTTCACTTTGTTGATGTAGTAAACAATGGAATTTTAAAAACAACTTTATTGGGGTATAATTTACATATCATAATATTCACATGGTAAGTTTACAATTTAATGATTTTTAATAAGTTTAGAACATTTCCATCATCCAAAAAAGATCCCACATGTCCATTTACGATTAATTCTAGCTCTTGACTCCAGATTTAGGCAATCACTATTTTTTTTCTGTCTATTGATTTGCCTTTCCTATACATTTCATCCAAAAGAATCATATAAAGGAAAAATCATAGTTTTTTCTGTCTGCTTTCTTTAATTAGAATAATGATAATAATGTTTGTTCATCCATGTCTTTGTATGTATTTTAGCTCATTTGTTTTATTGCTGAATAGCATTCTACTTTGTGGATACCATTTGATGAATATTTGTATTCTTTCCAATTTTGAACATTATGAATAGTACTATCATAAACATTTGTGTAAATTTGTGTGTAAACTTCATGTGGAATATATTTTCATGTCTTTGAGATATATGCTAGGTTTTATCATAAGTTTAGCTTCTTAAGATACTGTAAAAATGCTTTTCACAGTGACTGTACCATTTTACATTCTCACTGGCAGTGTAATAGTATTCCAGTTTCTCTACAACCTCACTATCACACTTTGCCTTTCTTTTTTTTTTAAATATATGAAATTTATTGTCAAATTGGTTTCCATACAACACCCAGTGTTCATCCCAAAAGATGCCCTCTTCAATGCCCATCACCTACCCTTCCCTCTCTCCCACCACCCCATCAACCCTCAGTTTGTTCTCAGTTTTTAAGAGTTTCTTCTGCTTTGGCTCTGTCCCACTCTATCCTCATTTTTTTTTCCTTCCCCTCCCCCATGGGTTCCTGTTAAGTTTCTCAGGATCCACATAAGAGTGAAAACATATGGTATCTGTCTTTCTCTGTATG